TTTTCAGAAAGAAGCTCAGAGAAATTCACGATTTTCAGCAATCATTTACCCTCTTTTGTCCTTGATTTAAAATTTGCCAAAAGGCCACTTACAAGTTGCACCAAAACAGGCAGTGTCCACTGCCTTAAGTGCAAAGGAGGCTCGCCGCAATACCTCTCCAGTTCATCACTCACAGAGAACCCCACACCAGTGCCTAGAGATGATTTTAAGAGCAAAAACATGAATTCCAAGCTGACAGCCCCTGTGCACAAGGCACGACTGTCCGGTGACAACAGAGGAGCCTGGGGCACAGGAGCTGGCTGACCTCTGCTACAGCTCTCGCCGGCGGATTTTTATTGTTCACCACTTTCCCAAAGCACAGGCATGGAGAGAAAAGCAACTAAGACACGCGGCTCAAAATGCAAACACAGCCAGGGAGGCAGCAGCACAGCAGGGAAAAGACAACCTGCCAGAGGGTACTGCAGCTGAGCGCTGCCAGGCTAGGGGGTGGAAGGACCAGAGCACAGGCCCTCCCTTCCCGAGAGTGATAGTGAGAGGTGCTGGAGCCCTGGGTCACCACGACACAGGCTCACCCAAGAGGAAACAGCTCCTAACACACAGCATCGCAGGCCCATCCTCTGCTTTGCACGGTTGAGCTGAAATCCCTTATCCTGCTTTCCAGGGTAGTCAGCTATAGATCTGCAGCCAGTGAGGCCAGGTCTCCAGGGACCAGGCTGCAGCTGGAAAATAATATTCCCAAGGCTTGTCACAAGCGCTGCTTGCTGGGGATGCTGCTCGCCTTGCCTTCTGTCATGCACGCAGCGAAGCGGGGAGTCCTCCCAAGCCACCCCACTCCAGAAAAGCCAGACATCCTGTATTGGACACAGGCCTCCCTGGGCTGCTCGTGCCCTCCAGGAAATGGCTCCTGCCCTGAAAGGCTGAAGACTTGCAGGTGCAAGGGCAAAGGAAAGGATAAGCACCCTGGGGCAGCTCTGCTGCCCAGAGTTGGCAGTCTGACTTCTCCCAGCACCCTTGCGAGCTAACAGCACAGGTACACACTGCTCCCCTCCAGTACAGCCCTGTCCCTGGGAGCCATGCAACGTCCTCGTGTAGCTCCATGACCACAGGGCTCAGGGCCTGGCTCTGCCAAATTCCTCCCATGCCAACGTCAGAGTGCCTCTGGGAGGGCTCCCCAGCACCAGCAGCTTCCTTGGACATTTTAGCAGCCTCTGGACACATCAGACTGGCACCTCATGGACTGTGCCTGCCTGGTGGGTACACAAACCCCTTGGCCAACCATCTACCTACACAGGGCAGGTGACAAACCACGTTTCTTCAGCTCGCCCAGAGCAAGGAGCCAAGGGATGGTGGGAAAACACCGTGCACCACCTCCTCAATTCAGAGGTGAAAAACCCAAACCATCCAAAAGCTCCATGCTTTTCTGCCAAAATCCAGCAGCACTTGCCGCCAGCTGCCCAGCCACCACCTCCCCAGCCGTGCCCCGCGGCTGGCCTCACGTGACGGTGAGGTGGATGCACACAGTAGGAGTGGCTGTAGTGACAGCGTTACAGCTTGTGTCCGACACACAGCTAAGCCCAGCAAATCCCAGCGCTCTGCAGCTCTCATTTACAAACCCCACACGCTCTGCGCAGGTACACAGGCTTCAGCGAGAGCTCAGTGCCCATGGCCCCGAGGAAACAACACCTGGAAGGAGACAGCCCAGCAAGCACAGGGCTCCCAAACCCTCTGATGTCCACCAGCGCGAGAACAGGCCCACACCAAGCCCCAGGGATAAGCAGAGCTCTTCTTACACCAGCCCCTCTTCAGGCTGGGGGCCCACCTCCCCAGGGCCAGCTTCAATGCTATTTCAGCACAGCTACTCCCACTGGGGAAGCAGGGACACTTGGCAGGAAAAGCAGGACTTCGCCACATCCTGCTCCGCTCCGAGCCACTTTGCTTCACTCCCCACCACTGCCCTGGGGTGGCAGGACTTCCCCAGCTCTGCAGACACCTGAAAGAAGTGCTGCGAACTGAAGCCCGGGCCCTACCTGCTGGCTGTTATTTCATTCCTCTAACAGGTCCATAAACCAGGGATAATTAAATCTCCCCTAAACTCTCTTCCATTTAAAATAAAAATCTATAGTCCCTATTTCATTAGCTGGCTCTGGGTTTTACAGCTTGATCAATTCCCCTTGCAGAGCCCTGGTCCCAGGCAGGCAGATGCAAAACACACAGTGGGCAGCTTCCATGGTGCAAATCAATGGGGATTCGCAGTCTCCTCTCCCTGTTCTTTGTTCCTCGCTCACCAAAGGGGAGACACACAGCACAGCAGGCAGGGACGGCGTGTTTCACCACTCAGGGGAACATCACGGCCATTTATGGCTTCAGAGGTCAGAGTTAGCACCTGGCAAGAGCAGAGGCAGCGGCGATTCTCTCCTTCTAGTGAAGGAAGAGCCCAGCACAGGGCCCTAAAAATGCAGCTGTGACCCTCAAGGCAAAGCAGGCGGGGTGACGCCTCTCCTCTCTCTCCAAGGTGAAGAGGGACCAGGCTCAGCTCTCGTGGCCGACGGCTGGAGTCGGAGCCCTCCGCAAGCATCAACTGGGAACCCAGAGCAGCCGCCACCGCTCTGACGTCCCTGCACACAAAGCGGAAGACACTCGTTGCGGAGACCTGAGCGCACAGGCTCACCATTTCCTGCCCTGCCACAGGCCGCCTTCCCCCCGCCGGCGGGCCAGGCCGATGGCTGGAGCAGCCGGGGCTCCAGATGGCTCTCACCAGCCCTGCAAGCCTCTCCCTCCGCTGCAGCGGGGATCTACCAGCTCCTGGCAGCAGATGGAGGGGCCACGGCAGCAGCGAAAGCTGCACAGACAGTGGATGGGCAGAGCTCCCGCCTGCCCACGGAGCAGAGGTCAGCACCCTGGGACAGCACCCATGACACCATTTCCCCCCGGCTCCAGACACACATCCTTCCCTCCCACCTTTGCCCAGTTAGAAAACAGCAAGATGCCACAGTCCTCGTCCTGCTGGTGCCAGGACACGGTGCAGAGGCAGTCCTGGGGGAAAGGCCCGGCAGCCCCAGCAAGCTTTGCCTCAGCCCCACAATGCCGGCGACGGACAGACCACACCGAACCCCGACCTCCAGCAACCCACCTGCAGGCAGGCCAGCACACCAGTACCTGCCAGGGGACACCAGGGCAGGTTGCTGGGACACAGAATAGCCACCAGTCAGAGCGCCTGGCTCCAGGCAAGACTGGGAAGGACAAAGCCCCAAGACCCTACTGCAACTCCTTGCGTGGCTGTGCAGGGGGGAGTGTGACACTGGAGCCTCCCAAACGCACCCAGGTGGCTCCTGCCTCACCATGGAGGGGCATGGGGGGGCTGCAGTTCACCTGCCAAACCAAACCCAATGCCCTTGGGGGCATGGCGCCGCAGAGCGTGGCTCCCACTGCCCAGCCAGCCTCAAAGCAAACACCCAAAGGTGACAAACAAAGGCACCCGGCAGGCACTCCGCATTAGCAGTATTTTTAGACACCGCTATGGAGCCGGCCTTATTATTTTCATTGCAACGTGCATAATTACCCACCATGCACCGCAGTGACATCAGACGCAGCCTGCTCCCCTCCGACAGCCGGCGAGGCCGGCGCCCGCTCCTCCTCCTGGGGGCTCCTGGCCTCGGGGACCGGCCCGTCCCCCCGGGCTCTGCCCTGCGCATCTCCCCGGGGCACGGGGGGACTCGGGGTCCTGGGAAGCCAGAGCCGGCAGCAGAGCCAAAATGGGTGCAGGTGGCAGAGGGCCCGAGCGAGGCAGCGACACGGGACAGCGAGGAGGCGAGCGTGGGGACAAGCTCCAGGAGCTGCAGACACGCGCAGCCAGCGGTGCCGGAGCACAGGACCGGCGCGGAGCTTGCAGATGAGATGCCGGTGCAAAACTGGGCTGTGGTCGTGGGAAGAGGGGCCGTCCCTGCACGGAGGGACAGCACCCGCCCGGCTGCAGGCTGCCCACGGGGGTCAGCTCCTTCCCGTGAAAGCAATCCCCGGAGCACATCCCAGCTGCCCGCAGCGCACAGTCCCACACGTTCTCTGTGGGGCAGCACTGCCCACCCACCCCGCACGCAGCCCACGTTGCCAGCACACACACCGCAGGGTCGCGGCATGGCCTGTCCCACGGGTGTCACCGCCTCCGCCCTGTAATTTGGGGCTCATTTGTTTCCTCCCGCTTCCCCACTTAGAACTTTCTGAAGAGTTTCACCACTTCCCTTCTCATCCCCTCTCACACGCCCGGGGCTTGCCCCCAGCCAGGCCCTGCTCACCGACCCCGGGCCAGGCAGCGGGGCCCAGGGGCTCTGGCAGCGGCGGACGGAGCATCCCGGGGCGTCCAGCGAGTCAGGGGACACGGAACCAGCCCCGGCTGGAGCCACCGGCTCACGCCCGCCCAAGGACACGGGAACCCCGCCGAGAAGGGGCTACGGCCGGGGCAGGCTCAGGGCAGCCCCCGCTCTGCCGACGAGGCCCCGAGGGGCGGCAGGGCTCCGGTTCCACCGCCCTCCCCGGTGCTCCGGGCATCCTCGGCCGCAGACACCCCCCCCTTCCCCCTTCCCCCCCCCCCCCCCGAGAACCGGGGGCTCCTCCCACCGGCGCGCTGCTGCCGGTGCACCGGGCCCTGCTGCCCTTTACGGCCACCGAGCCCCAGTGCCCCACGCAGCCGCCACACCCGCGCACCGAGCCCTGCGCTCGGCCCCGGTGCCCCCCGCCCCGGCCATCCGCCCCCTCCGAGCCACGGCGCACCGGGCCCCGCTCGCTCCTTCGCCCGTCGCACTAGGCTTCGCTGCACCGTGCATCCGCCCGCCTCGCACCGGGCCCTGCCCTCCCCCCCCCCCGCCCCGGCTCTACCGACCTCCTCCCCCAAGCCCCAGGCCCTGCCCGCCGCCTCTTCCCGGTGCACCGGTCCCGCCCGCCCCCGGTGCACCGGCCCTACCCCGCGCAGCCCGGGCCCGTCGGACCGCCGCGCCCCGTTAACCTACCGGAGGCGCGCCACTGGGCCGCTCGCTGCCTGCCCCGGCCCTGCCCCGCCGCTCAGCCCGCTCGCATGGCGCGGCGGCCGGGCCCGCCGGGCTCGGTATCCCTCCCGGTGCCGCTCCCGCTCCGGCCTCGGCCCGGCCTCAGCCCCGCCTCATGGCGCCCCCGCGCCTGCCGCTCCGATGGAGCCGGCCGCGCCGCCCGCCCCCCCCCGCGCCGCGCCGATGGGCGCGCCCGCTCCCCTCCCGCCGTACTGCGCCTAAGAGCGGCGCCACCCAAACCCGCGCGGCGGGGCGCTCCGGCCGTAGCGCCCCAAGTGGCAGCGCACCAGAACGCCGGTCCGGGGGTGTGCTGGGGAAGATGGCCCGGGAGGTGTGGGGGTGTCCCGGGACAGCCAGGACCAGTTTGCAGAGGGGTGTCCAGCACCAGCCCTGGAAGGCTCAGGGGGCTCCTCCCGGGCCAGCCCTGGCCACCTCCATAGGGTGTCTGTGAGGGTGCTCCAGGGCAGCCTTTGTAGGGGCTGGGGGAATCCTGGACCATCCCTGGAGGGGTTTGTTGGGGGGGTGGTCCCAGGCTGGCCCGCTGTAGCCCCTTCTCCAGGGACTCCCTGACCCAGATGTGGGCTGGGACGGGGGCCTCAAAACAGTCTGAGAGTCTGAGGGGGACCCCAGAGTCTCCCAGGCATCCAGACCCCACCGATTCCCCAGGGAACAGGGGTGAAGGGGCCCAGGGCCACAGAGGCAGGAGTTCCACAGGCCCAGGGCTGACAGTGCCCCCCTCCCCTGCCACCTCCCAGCCCTCTTCTGCCTGAGCGGAGCTGCACAATCTGCCCTTGTCCCCAGCAGGTCCAAAGTAGGTCAGAGAGACTGGGCTGAGCCCCCGGGGAGAGGAGCGGGTGGCAGGGGGATGCAGAGGGCCCCAGGCACCCTCCCCAGTAGGCACACCACTGGGTTGGTGCCCACCCCCTGTCCTGGTGGGACCCCGGTGTCCCCAGCCCAAGGGACGTGGGACATTTCCCCATCCCCTCTCTGGTCCCCTGGGGTGATTTGGGATTCCTCTGCATCCCCACAGGCTCTTCAACCCTCCTGCAAGCCAGAGTCCCAGGGCTGCAGGTTGGGGTGTCTGAATCCTGGGGGATCACACCCAGTGTGGAGACCTGGGGGGCTGGGGTTAGGGAGCGAGCATGGGCTGGGTGGGAGCTGAGGGATGAGCACAAGGAATAAGGAAGATGAGAGAGGGATTTCTCACCCCTTAATTGCAGTTAATAATTGATGAACTTGTTTACTGCAGGAGGCAAAGGTCTCTGGCAGTGTCAGGGTGTGAGTGCAGAGCAGCCCGCCCGGCAGCATCCCCAGTGACGCAGCCACAGGTAAGGGATATCGGCCCCTGCCCCGGCCCCCCACGGGCACTGTGGTCCATCACAGGGGGAGGCAGGGGTCCCTGTCAGCTCTGGGTTTGCCCATGTCCCCAGGGAGCCTGTGTCCAGGTCTGTGGCACGGAGCCTGGTTCTTGCTTACCAGCCCAGCTCAGTAGTGGGGACTATCCCCACCAAAGCCCCGGTGGCTGTTCCCCAGGAGGGGTTTGGGGTGGCTGGTGGGAGCAGGCAGCCATCAGCCCCAGGTGTTTGTTCTCTGGTGTGTGCCCACAGGCTCGCTGGCAGGATGGCATGGCACTTGCTGGTGCTGCTCCCCTTCTTCCTGGTGGCAGGTGAGGACTCTGCTCGGCAGCTGGCACGGTGGGCAGGAAGCATCGGAGGTTCCAAATTCCCTGAGGACAATCAGGACCCCCAAAACAGCTGCCCACCCTGTTGTCACCTTGGAGAACCAATGGCAACCTTGCTGTCCCAGGGCAAGGCAGAGCAGGCAGGGGGCTGGGCAGTGGGGATAGCATCCAGCTCGGGTGCTGCAGCTGGAGGACAAGGCTGGAGGTGGGATGTGTGAGATGATCACGAGGAAGGTGAGGGGTGGTGGGTTTCCTTGCCTTCTCTGGAGACCCAAACCATGGCTGGGAACTGAGGCTGGAGCTGGGTTGGTGCTGCTGGACACAGGGGTGCACGGTGCAGACAGAGCATGGTGCAGAGGTGGTGCTCAGCACACCTCCTCCTTGTAGTTTCAGGCAACACAGCCCCCTTCTTCAACACGACCATCGTCTATGTGCCCGAGGACCTGGAGTTGGGTGAGTGAGGCAGCTTTGGGGAGGCCCTGGGGCGCAGGAGGAGTGGCCGGGGGGTCCTTGGGCAGGGGTTGATGATGCCTGTGCCCCCAGGCCAGCATGCTTTCCAGCTGAAGGCTACTGACATAGACGGGGACCCGCTCACCTACAGCATCAGTGGGCCGGAGGCCTTCTACTTCTCTGTCAATGCCCAGACAGGCAACGTGACGCTGAGGAACTCCCTGGACCGCGAGGTGAGGGCAGAGACTGGGGCAGATGTCCTGGCCTGAGCTGGGGCATCTGGGGTGATGGGGATGAAGGGCAGAGCTGTGAATCCTGTGAGAGGGATGCTCATGGCGATACTGTGGGTCACTCTCTGGCCCCACAGCCCAGCTCTGGGTGGGAGAGCTGTCTGGGAGAAGCATCCCACCCAGGGGAGGTGGGTGGGAGGGTGTTGGGGCTCAGCCATCCAAAGATCGAGCTCTGCCTGGCCCTGACCAACCCCTGCCTTGTGTCCCCCCAGCTCCAGGCCAGGCTCACCATCACTGTCGGGGTGTACGACGGGATGAATGATGCAGTGAGTGCCAGGGCACGGGCTGGGTGGCTGCAGCGGGTGATGAGGACAGGGAGGGGAGTGGGGTCTCAGCGGGGCCATGGACGAGGCTCGGTGGGGAAGGGGGCTGGAGGGCTGGAAGGGGTGGGTGATGCTGGCTGGCTTCAGAGCCAGGGTGGGCACAGGGTGCCAGAACTGCACCCAAATCTGCCAGGCACCATCTCCTGCACCCTCCCTGACACCTGATAGGTCTCCAGAAAACTCACGATCATCGTGCAGGACCGTAACGACAACGCCCCGGTCTTCCAGAACCTGACGTATAAAACCTCCATCCCTGAGGTACCTCCCGGGCCCCACGGGCAGCAGAGCAGGGGTGGTGGGTGGCTCCTGTGGTTTGGGTGCGATGGCAGCAGGAAAACACTGCACGGGGAATGGGGTGACCCCACGCCTGGGCGTGTGGTGACGGTGTGTCTGGGCGTGGGGTGATGGCGCAGCTGACCCGGGAGCACACCGTGCCACGGCAGTTCCCGGCGGGCACCTCTCTGCCAGCCCGAGACGCTGGCGCGTGTCTGGGACTCTGCCCTTGAGATGAGTTTCTAATCAGGGAGCGCCCGAGCTGCCCCTCAGACCGGGCCAGGGTGGGGACAGATCAGGGTGCAGATGGGTGTGGGGCTGAGCCCGACCCTCCTCCAGCAGCCCCAGGGCTGGGGTGCAGCCCCTGCCCCCAGGGAGGGTGGCGGGGGGAGCCAGCCCCCCCTCAGCGTAAGCAAGGGAAGCAGCTCATCCCTGTGTGGTCCATGGCACCGGGCAGCCCCTGCAGCCCTGCGGGGCCACAGCAGCCCAGAGCAGGACTGGCAGGGGCTGGGCTCAGCACCACCACCCCTGCTCTCCTGAGCGATGCCACCACCATCCCCCTGTGTGCTCAGACCACAAAACCCGGCAGTGTCATCTACACCGTGTTTGCCAACGACAGTGACACCGGGAACGCCTCTAAAGTCACTTACAGCATCGAGGAGGTGAGCACAGTGCATTGCAGAGTGGGGCGTGCGGTATCTGAAACCCACCCCTGAGCCACCCCCATGGGGAAGAACGTGTTGGGGTACCCAAACAGGGGCAGACCCAGAGTTCTAGGGGTGCGGGGGGGGGGTGTCGAGTCAGGAGGGCTGGCTCTGCACCCTCTGGGCAATGGGTGCAAGGTGCTGAATGGTTGCAAGCTGGGGATGAGTCAGGTGGTAGGGGGTCCCCCTGGGCTGAGCCTGGCAGAAGGATAGGGGCTGAGCCCCCACCTCTGCTGGGGCACCTCTGCTCCCTTCCTGGGTGACGTGGGGTGATGTCCCCTGCCCAGGTGATCCCAGACAACACAAATAACCGCTGGCTCTTCTACATCCTGGCCAATGGGAACGTGGTGCTCAATGGCTCACTGGACTACGCCAAGAACACCTTCTACCAGATCAAGATCATCGCCAAGGTGGGGGCCAGCCAGGCTGGGGGTGCAGGGCTGTCAGGTAAGGGTGCCGTGGGACTAACGGGCACTCTGCTCCCCAGGACAGCGGGGGGATGCTGCACAACGTGTTGACCTTCCAGCAGAGCTCGACTTACCTGTCCCTGAGCATCCAGGACCAGCCCAACCTGGACCCACGGTTCCTCAACGAGCCTTATTCTGGCTCCGTGCCTGAGAACTGCGCCCTGGTAAGGAGTCTGCCTGCCCCAGCAGCATGTCCCTAGCCCTGACCCTCCCTGGGGGCTCTGACACCCTGGGGAGGGTGGCTGGAGACATCATAGGTCCTGCCTTGATGGCCATGTCCCCACAGGGCACCACTGTGCTGACCGTCACTGCCATGGACAGAGACACAGGGGTGAAGGACAAAATCTTCTACAACATCACCAGTGAGTGATGGAGCTGGGTGGGATGGGCAGGGGGTGAGCAGTGGCAGAGTGGAGTGGACACGGGGTGATCAGGCAGCAAGGGGCACCACAGGGACTGGCTCTGGGCTCCCAGGCACTGCGCCCCTGGCAGAGAGAGGGCCAGGCCTGTGTTTCTCGATGGCTGCAGCTGATTCCTGATGTTCCCTTGCCCTAGATGCCAGCGTCCCCTTTGCTATCAGTGCCACAACGGGCACCATCACTGTGAGTGGGCTCCTGGACCGTGAGCAGCTGCCAAGCGAGGAGATGCTGCTGGAAGTCATGGTGAGTAGGAGGCAGCAAAGGGAACCCCATTCTCATCCTCTTCCCGGGTCCCTCTGACCTGCTCTCTCCTCCTGCCCAGGCATGTGAGGAGAAGCTGGACATCAACAACAAGGTGGCCCAGACCAGCACTCTGGTGACAGTTTTGGTGACCGATGTCAATGACAACAAGCCCCAGTTCTACCACTGCTCCCTCCCCAGCTGCAACTTCTCCACCAGTGCCCAGAGCAACTTCAGGGGAAGCATCATAGAGCACTCCTCCTCCAGACTGCCCGTGTCCAACCTCAGCATTGTCGCCCACGACCCGGACAAGGTGGGAGCCTGCCCAGGGGCCTGGTCCAGGGTGCAGGTGTCTGTCCTGGCTGCACCACTCACCCTCACTCCTGCATGTCTCTCCCTGGCAGAGCATCAACAGCAATTATGAGCTGTACCTTCAGGGTCTGAATGCCAGTGCCTTCACTGTCTCCCCCTCAAAGATCGTGGGCACAGGGGAAGTCCAGCTCCTGGTGCAAAACCCATCCTCTGTGGACTACGAGATAAGCCATGTCATGGTGGTGCAGGTGGGACTTGTAGGGCTATCTCTCCATGGGAGCAGCGGGGACACGGCCTTTCTCCTGCAGTGTTCAAGCCAAAGCAGAACATGGCTCTGCCCTATCAGTTTGGTGCAGAGGAGCTGGGCTGGATTGTGACAGGTCTCTTTCTCATATTTGGGGACCCATGTGAGACATTGTCTCTTCTCTGTCCTGCAGATCATTGCTAATGACACGGGCCACCCCGCAGACTGCTGCTCTACGGCCACTGTGACCATTGACCTCATTGACAGTAACGACCACATCCCTGAGTTCCCCCAGAGCACCTACAACCTGAGCGTGATGGAGAACAGCTCTCCTGGCACCATCATCTCCCCAAACATCACGGTCGGGCACCGGGCAGGGCGTGGGCACACCTTACATCCCCCAGGCAGGGTGCTGGCCACTGGTCTCTCCATGCACACAGGAAGGAGATGCTGCCAGTGGGCACACAGGCTGTGGGACCCCGTGCCCATCAGGGCCATGTTTTTGGGGTGCTCACTGCCAGCAGCTGGTGCCCCAGACTCAAGACTGCTCTGGGGGATGAGGCAGATTGACCAGATGCTTCCTTCTCTATTTTAGGCCTATGATCCGGACAGCGGTGCCCTGGGCCAGATCACCTACCACCTGCTCCCGGAGAGCATGTACGTAGGGGCAAGGCCAGCCACAACAGGGGCATTGTCCTGGCGAGGGGCTCCAAGCCTGAGCCCTGGTGACTGCTCTGTGTGTGCCGTAGCCGTAAAATCTTCACGGTGAACGCCACAACTGGGGCAGTGCTGGTGCAGAACGGGAGCTTGCTGGACCGAGAGACTCGCTCCATCTACTACGCCAACCTCCAGGCCAAGGATGGGGGCAACTTGGTTGGCACCACAGTGCTGGAGATCACCGTGCTGGATGACAATGACATGGCGCCCATCATCACCGGCTCTTACTTCATCTCGGTGGAAGAAGGGCAGAACATCACTATACAGATCCAGGTATACACCAACAGAGGTGGAGGGCGTGACGGGAGGCTGTTGGAGAGGAGCAGGCACTGTTCCCAAGGTGCCTGACAACCCTGTTCCAACCCTTGACCATTTCAGGCCATCGACAATGATGAGCCTGGCAACAACAACAGCAAACTGGGCTTCAAGATCTTGTCAGGACCGTTCAGCGACAACTTCACCATCAACGCGGCCACAGGTGAGATGCACAGCAAGGAGCTGCTGGACCGTGAGGCCTTGGAAGATGAGCAGGGGCAGATAGTGGTGACAGTGGAGGTGTACGACCACGGCGTGCCACAGCTCAGCACCTTGGTGAACGTCACCATCACTGTGGGGGTGAGCCCTGGGCACAAGCGGGGATATACTGGGGTAGCCCGGGACTTTGAGTTGGGATGGATGAGCAAGACGTGGGATCCCTTGCCGTGGCAGGGGCACCATGTCCCCAGGATCTTTGTGGGGGCAGAGGGAATAGTTGATGCAGGGGGGCAGGAGAGGGCTTGTGTGCCTCCTGCCTGCGGGCAGGCAGGTGTCCACGCTCCTGTCCCCAGCCTGCTGTGCAGGACCCTGTTTCCTGTAGTGGCCACAACCATGGGCTTTGTCTCCTGCAGGACATGAACGACAATGCACCCATGTTCCTCAACCAGTCCTATGAGTTCGCAGTCTTTGAAGACTCTCCAGGTAGAAGTTGTGTGGCCAGGCTCATGGGACCAGAGGCGTCCTGGAGTCAGAGCCTGCTGGCCACTGAGTGTCTGTCTCCACCTGCAGGGTCCCTCGTGGGTGAGGTGAAGGCCACAGATGCTGACCAGACACAGATCAATTCCCGCATTTCCTTCCTACTTCAGAGGGGCAGTGGCTCCAGCAACTTCTTGATCCGCTCGTCCTACCTGGGGCCAGGGTACTATGGTGGGCAGCTGTCCATGGACCCTGACATGTCCTTGGACTATGACACCCTGCAGCAGAAGTTCTTCTCCTTGGTGGTGCTGGCAGAGAACACGGCTGCAGACAACGTGGGGGACACTTCCAATGTCTCGGTCGTGGTCCACATCCTAGACATCAATGACGAGTCCCCCACCGTCCTGCCAAATTCACTGCAGGACGTGCGTGTGAGCGAGAATGGCACGCAGCAGGGTCTGGTCCACATGCTGTCCGCTTCCGACCCAGACAGCAACCACTTGCTGGTCTTTGAGGAGCTGGCAGTTGCCTGCTTCAAGGGGACAAGCAGTGCTGGGGAGGTGTGCTGGGACTGGTTCGTGCTGGTACCCAACGGCTCGGTGCTGGTGAACAGCTCGGACATTGACTACGAGCTGTGTGACAGGGTGGTGCTCACGCTGCGGGCTGAAGACCTGTACACCGAGAGGGGCAACCGCTACAGCCAGAACGGTACGGCACCCACTCCCTGCTCCTTGCACTGCCACTGGGCACGGCGGGAGGTGGGACCTGCCTGTCCCACCTCCCAGGAGGAGCTGTGGGGAGCAGGGTGGGAACCAGGCTGTTTGGTGAAAGAGGGAGGGTGTCCCCAACTCCTTTGGTCCCTGCCACAGGGACCCGAGCCTGCCGGGAGGATGGGACTCCCAGGGGAAGCAGAGGAGGGTGCTGTGGGGCTGCTCTGTTGGTGACTGGAGCTCTGCTTTTGGGGCATTTGCAGAAACCCTGGGGATCCTCATCAAAGATGTGAATGACAACGTGCCAGTCTTCTTGCCCATCTTGGAGACCTTTGGTGAGCAACCAGGGCTGGTGCATCCTGTGGGGTCCACTCTGCACCCACACGTGCTCTGCCATGCTCCCCGGCAGTGAGGACCTTCCCCCAGCCAGGGCAGGGCTGTGAGAGGTGCAGGCACCAGGCTGGGGTTACTCGATGCTTTCCATGAAGTGTGTGGGGCCAAGGGCAGTGGGGGGATGCTTGGAGCTCTGTTGAGCCCCGTGGCTGTACGGGTATGGGGCCTGCAGCAAGCCTGGCTGCACATCAGCATGACCATGCTGTCCATCTGTCCTTCCCTGCCAGTGGTTGTCCCCGAAATCTCTCCTGTAGACCTGCAAGTGGCTACGGTGAAGGTGAGGAGCAGTCTGGGGAGCCAAGACCTCCCGTCCCCGCCATGGGCAGGCAGTGGCTGTTCCCATCCATGCTCCTGCCACGCTTTGTCCCTGCAGGCCACAGATGCTGACTCGGGACTGAAGGGAACCATCACTTTCTCCATCGTCAGTGTGGTGCTCATGCAGGACAGCGGGGTCAGCCAGCCCTTTGAGAACCTCTTCAAGGTGGTGACAACACCCGAGCAGGACAGCTACGTCGGGAGCATCCAGTAAGACCATGGGTTTGGGCCAGGGTGGGGGGAGCATGGCTCAGCTCCTGCCTGCCACAAGGCAGAGGTGCAGGCAGGGCCAGCACAGGCTGACAAGGGGACAAAGCCATCCTGGGGTCCTGCCCTGGGCATGGTGGATCTTGGGGGATGGTGGTGCGCTCCCAAGGATGTCCCACGGGATTGCTGATGTCCCTGTCCTCGTAGGGTGGCCAGCAACCTCGATGACTCACTGAAGGGGCAGTACCAGGTGACAGTGGAGGCTCAGGATGGTGAGGAACCAACGCACACAGCACAGACCGTGCTGAATGTGAGTGTCACCCCCGTCCCCCCATCCGGGGATGCCCTGTGCCCTGCCCAGCCCCGCTCACCCCTGCTCTCCCCCACACAGATCTTTGCAGTAGACCAGAGCTACCGTGTCCGCCTTCAGTTTGTGACAACAGTGGATGAAGTACAGAGTAACTCTGAAAATATCAAAGTGTAAGGGGTGCTGGGCTGGGGAGGGGGGTGCAAGGCTGTGCATCAGGAGATGCGAGCATGCGACTGTGTCTCCCGGCTTCACGGACTGTGAAGGGCAGGTCCCCACCAGAACCGGGGGCTGCAGGGGGTCTGGTTGCTTCCAGTGCCCACGAAGCAGAGCAGCAGGACTCCCGGCCCAGCCTCCCTCCCTCCCTCCTGTTCCTAGGGCCCTGATCACCGCGACCAAGGCAGGGGTCTACGTGGTGGCCATCCGGAGAATGGAGGACACCCGGGCCTCCCGGTGAGTGGGGCCACGCAGGTGATGGGGAAGGGGACATGGCAGTGGCATCGGAGCGGGTCGCCCTGGGGCAGGGCACCGTGCCCCTCACCCCGCTCACCCCATCTCTGATCCCACAGGGTGGAAGCCAAGTCGGTGATGGAGGCGTACTTCGTCTACAGCAACGGCACTGCCCTGGATGTCAACCAGCTCAGCATGTGGGTGCTGGGGTGGGGGCCACGCACGGGCATCGCCATGTGCCCGGCCCGGCCCAGCTGCTCACCCCTCCGCTCTCCTTGGCAGACTCATACAGTCCGACCCGCTGGTCCTGGCTGAGCTGGTGAACCTGGGCCTGGCCGTCATCGTGAGTGGGGCTGGGCAAGGGGCTCGGAGACAGGGCACCAGCCCCGGGTGGGGCTGGGGGGGGGGGGGTCTGCTGGCCGGGGCTGTGCCCTCACCCCTGCTCTGCGCCAGGGCCCCGGGGAGGTGGCGAAGCCCACCAGGGAGACGGAGCTGATCGGCATCATCGCAGGGCTGGCAGCGTTCCTGCTCATCTTCATCCTCATCATGACCCTGGTCTTGGTTCTCACCACCCGGAGGTACTGCACCACTCGCAACCCTCCTCCTGCCTCCCCCCCCCCCAGACCCATCCCTAACCCCCATCCCACAGCCTTGGTCCCCCCTGCCCCTCTCACCTGCCCCATCCCTGGGCTTTACAGCTACAAGAGGAAGCTGAGTGCAATGAAGGCTCTGAAGGTGGCCACAACATTCAGCCCTGCCATGGTGCAGCAGGGAGCTGGCATCCCCGGGACTAACCAGTACAATGCAGAGGGGTGAGTGGGGGGGTCCCCCTGGCAGGAGGGGAGAGCCCAGGCACGTCCCCATGCCCAGGGGCTGCAGGGCTCGCTGCCACATCCCCCCTGCCTGGGGGACCGAGCTGACCCCACAGTCCCACGGGAGTCACTCACCTGCCACCCATCCCTGGCCAGGGCCAACCCCATGCTGAACCTCTCGCTCAATCCCTCCCACGACCTGGGCTTCCATGAGGACTCCATCTCTGTGGCCAGGTGAGCTCTGTGGGCAGGTCCCGAAGGCCATGGGGCCGTCACCCTGCGTCCGCACTCTGCCAGTGCCTGAGCCCTCTTCTACCCCCCACTCTCACAGCATGAATTCCCTGGATGAGAACACAGTAAATGCACCTGGGGACAACCTCAAGGCCAAGGTGAGTGTACAAAGTGCTGCTGGTGCCCAGCAGAGAGTCCTGCCACCACACCCCTGTGGTCTCCAGGCTCCTGAACCCCTCCTGTGTCTTGCTCTCCATCCCCTTGACAGCCCCCAGCTCCTGGGAAGGACGGGAGTATCCCTGTGCCCCATCTGCCCCATCCCCTCTGACCATGCTCTTCTCCTGCAGCAGGGCAACGGGCAGCTGGAAGACCCCACCAACGAGGAGGTGCTGGTGGCCGCCCTCAACATGAAGGAGCCCACCAAAATAGCGTATATCAACACCACCTTCACCACCACAGACTTGTGAGTGGGTGCGTGGGGTGCAGCAGGGCCAGAGCGGGACTTGGGCAGCTGCTTTGCTGATGTTGAGTTCAGAGGCTGGCAATAAACCTCTCCCATGGGGGTCACAGTGTCCTGTGGCCATCAGCCCATCTGCCCCGAGGGCTCAGGCAACTTGGGGTCATCTCTCCCAGCACAAGGTACTGGTTTCAGGCCAGGCTGGTGCCAGAGGGGAGGTGAGTGCCACCGCGGGGCTCAGCCTGGCTTCTTGTCCCCAGGACCTCTCCCCTAGGCTGCCCCACTGTCCCCACTCAGCCCCAGGGGAGGGAGGTGCAGGCAGCCCCGCGCAGAGTTTTGTGCAAGGTTTTATTACCCAACATCCACGTTGACAGGTTGGTCCTCCCGCCCCCTTCCTCCCCCCCACCCCAAAAAAAAGAAACGAAGAGGAAAAAAAGAAGAAAGTAGGAGATGAAGCCGCAGCGCCTGTGTGCAGCAGCTCAGCAGGGTGGGGCCGGAGGTGGGGGACAGCCCGGGGTAGGGTGGCAGGGGGATGCCCCAGGGCTCCTGGTCTTCCCCCCGAGCGGCCGTAGCACCGCTCCCGTAGCCCAAGGCACAGAGCAGAGCCGGCTCCTGGTGAGCGCAGCAGCACAGAGCAGGCACTGGCCACGGCCCTGGCTGCCAGCTGGTGCTTCAGCGAGCCCTTCACAGCTCCCCACCTCTCTGTAAGACAGCCCCAGGGGGCCAAAACAAGCCCAGGATGTACAACCAGAGTTTGGGGACGTGGGGGGAGGCAAGACTTGCCACTTAAAGAGGGGAAGCAGCTGCACTGGTGCCGCTAACACAAGCCCTCCTGCATTTCTGCCCAGAGGGGATGGTGTGGCTCCCCAAGCAGCCCCATTTGCAGCCTCCTGCCCATCAGGTGCTGGGCACAGGCCTGGGCCCCCCGCCCTTGCTGCGTCACTGCGGGGCTGGTCCTCTGCATGGGGCCAAGCTGAAGGGGCCAGGACCCACGTCTTGGCAGGATGCCGCGGTGCTGCCGGCCGCAGGGACGCTCCCCCCAGCCACGGGGATGCTCACCCCCCTGTACACCGACCCTTCGCTCCCAACGTTCTTCAGCCCAGCGGGGCACAGGCAACGTAGGAAAAGTATTTGAAAAGAGGGTCGTGGCCCCGTGGGCCACCAGGGAGGAGGTGGCTCCAGGCAGGACACACACGGCTGAAAGTGTCTCTTAAAAAGCTCCAAAAATGCAAACACGGTTCAATAAAAGCCCCCCTCCCCCCTGCCCTGTAAAACCCCAGCTGTAAAAAGTGGCAGCACTTTGCAGCCATCACATCCCCGACTGTCATCAGAGGAGAGCAGCCAGCAGGGCCGGAGGGACCCGCGCAGGGACACGTGCCCACGTCCCCGGCACGTGGGGCCTCTCCGGCACTGGGGTGGCTGGCCAGGCCCGATAGCAGGGCAGGTCTCATCCCCCACCGCCAGCCAGGGCGAGGACGTGCCCTGGGCTCTGATGGCCTGCTCCCAGGCAGGGTGAGCTGGGGGCTGTGGGGACAGACTCCCCAAGTGCCTCCAGCCACAGTGATGGGGATGAGCAGCTCTCCAGTCTCTCCCACTTGAGATCTGTACTGGTGCGGCATGTGGCCAGGTCCTCCCAGCTCCAGGGCACCCGTGGCACAGCAGCGGAGCGGAGAGGACGGGGCTGTGACGCGCTGGGCTGAACACCCCTGCCCTGTGCAGCCGCAGGGACCCACACGGGCACGGCCGTGGGCTGGATGGAGCACGGCCGAGCCCTGAGCAAGGGAAGCAGTGGCACAGCAATGCACCAGCGTCTCTCCAGAACGGGGAGAGACGCTGCTGCCTGGGGTGCAAGCGTGGCCAGAGCTTGGGGGAGCCAGCAGTGACCTGCCCGTGCCCACCCTGAGCCATCTCCAGACCTGTGCCACAGGCAGGAGACACCTGGAGGCAGCCCAGAAGGATCCATGTGCTTTCTCACGCTGAAAAAAGCCACCAAGCACAGAGACGGGGCACAAGCCTCATGTCCCAGGACACCTCCATGGGGCTAGGCTGGTGGGGGGGGACCCCAGGCTGGTGGGGGGGACCCCAGCGAAGGAGATGCCTTGCCCCAGCATGCAGGGCTCCATCACCGCCTGCCCCCAGCCCCAGGAGCCCCACACACTGGCAGCGGGCGTCTCAGGACCCCTCCCCACTTCCCCCAAAAAGCCCCGCGGCACCCCCGCCCCGCCGGCGCAGGCAGCAGCTCACTCCATGGCGGGGCCAGCGCGGGAGCAGCACCGGGGCCGCCGGACGTTCTGCAGCAGAGCCCGAAAGATGCTGGGCTGCCTCTTGGCCTCGCCTTTGCGGGGGGCTCCCTTGATGGAGCCGGCGCGGGTGCTCTGGGGGGTCATCACCACCTGCCTCCCGTGCTCCTCGATCTGCTTCTCCAGGTGCTTCTGGATGGCCATGCCCAGCACCTCCACCTCCATGGAGGCCCCGTACACCTCCCATGTCATCCCCTTCTCGTCCCAGCTCACCTCCCGGATGGGCTCCGGAGCCTCCTCCACCACCGTCCCCTTCACGTGCACCTCGGGGTACGAGGCCTGCGGCGACTTGGCCACCGGCGTCATGGGCCCAGTGGCCACCGAGCGGGTCTCCACGGGCATGGACACCTGCATCTCCGCGTCCTTCTTGGAGGGCTCCGGGCGCGGGAGGGCAGCAGAGCCTGCCTCTCTCTTGGGGAAGGTGAAGGCAGCAGCCCCACCTGGGGGGCTCATGGGGCTCAAGGCCACCGACACCAGGGATGCTCGGCTGTCCACTTGCGTCCCTGTGTCCTGCGTCCCGGCGTCCTGCGGTGGGGTCACCTCGAAGGAGTAGGACTCGCAGAGCAGCTTGGCTGTCCGGGGCTGCTGGCTGCTCCCAGCATCCGCACCCTGGGTTGGGCTCCTCTCGGCTCTGCCCTGGATCAGGGTGGCAGAGCTCGGCCCTGTCTCTCTTTGGCCCCCACTCCCCACAGTGCCGGTGCCAGGGGGGTCCGCCGTGTCCCCCTCGGGGTGCTTGGGAGTCTCACCACCCTTTGGCTGGGGTGCAGCACCCAGGGGCATCCCTGTACCACCCTGGGGCTGTTCCTGGTTTGGCAGCTCAGCTGTTCCGGCACCCACAGCGGGCTCCACGAACACCACGTGTTTGGCAGGAGCTGGCGCACTCCCCACGTCCTTGCTGGGCGCCTTGAGGCAGGGCTCGCGCAGAGGGGGCACGGGGGCCGTGTTCTCCTTCTGGGCACCAGGGACCCCCATCCCCACAGGACCACAGGCAGGGGCAGCGCCACTCGGTCCCCCGCAGCTCCCTGTCGCTGCCACCAAGCTCGGCTCCGTGCCGGCGTCTGGGAGAAGCGTGCCGGGAGCCGGTCCCGTTGACGACGGCACCTTCTTCTCTGCCGCTGGGCTGGCTGTAGTGCCCTGGGTCTCCGGCTCAGCCACGCAGCAGGTCCTCATGGCACGGTCCCCCGCAGCACAGCCAGAGCCAGGCAGGCACTCGCCAGCCGGGAGGCAGCCAGGAGAGCTGGCGCCGGGCTCGAAGGCGTCCTCAGCCCTGGCCTGGCGGCTCAGCAGCTGCAGCCCCTCAGGCTCCTTAGCACTGCCCATGCCCGGGGAAGGCTTTTCCCATGCTAGTCCCACCACAGGTCTGCAAGAGAGAGGAGGGGGCAATGAGGGGGAGAGCAGCGCACGGACCCCCAAGCCCCTTCAGCTGCCAACTATTTTTCTCCACACCACCCATGAAAACAGGTTTGGGCGGCCGCCCGGAGCACCCACCGGCCTCGGCACAGCCTGTGTGGCAGCACCCAGTGCCCGGCCCCACGAAAGATGTTGGTCACCTACCGTAAAAGCCAGCCTTCCCCCGGCACGGCCGGACCGGGAGCGAGATCCAGGCACTGCTGCGGCTGCCGGAGCGAGGGGACGTGGCGCAGGCACCCCTGCGGAGAGAGCGGCGGCTGAAGCAGAGTCCTGGGTACCAGGTGGAGAGCCTTGGGGGGCTCAGCACCCCCCACCTGCCAGTGGGGAGCTGGGTGCAGTGTGGGGTGAGAGTGAGCTGGGATGCAGAGCATGGCAGGGGCATGGGGCAGCCCGAGCGTTTCCCTCTGAAAACTGGGACCAGTATCCCCAGAGCTGGGAGTGACGTGCGTCCCTCAGCCACGGGAACCCCCAGCTCAGCGCCTACGCCCCATGTCAAGAGCGTGCCGAGCTCCCAGCTGGCTGCAAGCACCCCAGCACGGCGGGGGGACGCAGCTTGGTGTCACCCAACCGGCCCCAAACCTTCCCTGTGGGGCAGCCCTGTAGCACGAGCACGGTGGGAAGCCCCAAGCTCTCCAGGAGCCCCTCCAGCTCTGCCAGTGCCAGCGAGTCCCTCCAGAGCTGGAAGCACACGAGGTAGGGCAGTCCACACCTCCCGTCACTGTCACTCGTGGATCCCGGGTAGGGCAGAGCCGAGCAGACACGGCTGGAGCCGAGTGAGTCCCCTCCAAGGGAAGCGGCAGGAGCAGAGACCAGGCTGGCACCGACCCCCCCGCGGCCACCCAGCAGAGGGGATGACATCCCCCCGTCTCTGTTTTCCCACGCAGCACCCTGTTCCCGGGTGGGGCCGTGCCGCCCCGCACCTCGACCTGCCCTGACAGCATCCTACAACCCGGGGGGGGGGGGGAGGTGGGGTGGGGAGCCACCCTGTCCCGGCGGAGCTGCGCGCCCCGACACACGCGTGTGCAGTCGCGCAGGCAGACACGCGTGTGCGCACACACACAAGCGCGCACACGCCAGCACATGGCTACGGGCACACCCGCACACACACGGACACGCGTGTGCACGCCCAGGTTCCCCGGCCGAGCCCCGGACAAAGCCGCCCCCGCGGTGGGGAGGCCCCCGCCGTCGCCGCCCCCCGCCCCCCGCCCCGGGGGTGCCGGTACCGGGGCTGGCGGCGGCGGCAGCGCCCGGCCCGGCCCCGCCACGTGTGCCCCGGGGCCGCCGTTACCTGCGGCGGCGGATCCGACCGTCCCGCTCCGCTCCGCTCGGCTCCGTGCGCGGCGGCGGTGGCGGCGGCGGGGAGCATGCGTGGGGCGGCGGCGGCGGGGGCGGTACCGAGCCCCGGGCCGCTCCCCCCGGCTGCCGCCCGCCCCGGCGCCCCCGGGCAGCGGTGGGGAGGCGAGGGAGGGCCGGTTGCCGCGGGGAGCGGGGGGGTGTCCCGCCACACACCCCCCCACACCCCCGGTGTCATCGCCGTTACCACCCTGGGAGCTCCCCAGCCCGCCGGGACCCCCCAGCATCACCCCCCCGTATCTCCCCGGGACCGTCACCCCGGTGCACCTGGACACAGTAGGGCGTACGGCTGGCACCAGCCCGCTCGGGGGGTCCCCCAACCCTTAGCGTGGGTCCCGTGGGTGTGGGGGGTGTGACAGCCATACAGAGCCCAGTCCCCCTCCTACCTGGTGATGGAGATGGCCGCTTTCCTCCCAGGCATCACCGTGGGGGGGGAGGGGGGGTGCACCCCAACCAGCCCGAGGGATGGGGACAACGTGCCAGTGCGACGGGGATGGAGGTGGGCTCCCGTGTACCCCTCGCCCAAGGGTGGGGGAGGACGGGGAGGGGAGAACGTCCCCGTCTCCCTCCCAGCAGCGCTTGCCTCTGCTCTCGGGCTCAGGCTTTGTCTAACTCCTTCCCACGCACTCCTGCTCACGCTGCAGGGGGGAAGGCGGCCTGCTCGCCTCGCCTGCATCCCTGCACCCCCCCCCCCCAAACCCTCCAGCATCCCCCCAACCCCCCCACAGCTGCTCCCCATCACACTATAGGATCAGGATCCCCTCCCTGCCCCAGGGATGTCAGGTCTGGGTCAGGAGCTATAGATCTATAGGGTCAAGGAAGGGGTGTGTGCTAACATTCCTGGGGTTAACATTAGCGCACACACGCGCACACACACACACACACACACACACACACACACACACGCACCGACCCTATAGAACTATAGGGTGAGTCTAGTTCGATGGGAGCTGACACACCTGGTTGCTTGGAGACAAGAGAGGTTGGAAATGCTCCTTCCAGTAAACAGCCAGGCTGGAACAAAACCCCGAAAGCTAAAAATAGGGAGGCAGGATATGGAAACAAAATAAAAAGCATTGCTTTACCCACCCTGGGGCAGAGCGGGGCACCCCCATGTCACTGCCAGGCACCCTGATGGGTGAATGGATGGCGTCGATGGGGTGGGGGTGCACCGCTGCACCCATCAGTGTGTGTCCCCCTCAAGGTGTTTGTCCCCACCCATGGTCCTGTGTGCTGGTCCCAGTCCCGCAGCATTGACTGGGCCCAGTTGCCTGCTTGCAGAGGAGGGGAGCACAGCGTGGGGCATAGGTATGGGTTTGCATCCCAGGCTGCCCCATGTGGGATCAGACCCAAGCTGGGCGGGCACAAGGGACACCACAGGCAGGAGCAAGTCCTGGTAGAGGAGGGGACTGAGATGTCCCCCATCCCCTGGCTGGGAATTTGCTGGAAGTTGGGGGACTGGGGGGTCTCTTTCTTCTGGCATTCACTTCCACCCGCTGCTCGCCAGCAGCCGCTCTCCCCATCCTCATCAGCATCTCAGCATCCAGCACGTCCCCATCCCCACCGGGGCTGGCCCAGGAGGGGGGGGTCACAGGGACCACCCTCCCCTCCCTGCAGGCAGCCTTCATCCCAGGCCGGCTGCCTCCTCCTCCTCCTCCTTTCCCCACCCGGGCACTTCAGGGCTGGCAGGAGAACAATAGCGAGGAGGATGAGTAAGATGGTCCCCATTGCCTTGGCAACGCACTCCCGCGCTGCCGGCGCGCGAGAGGAGTCAGGCAGCTGCCTGAAAAGCGCATTCTCCCTCGGCGGAGGGGGCTGCCGGCGCAGGTAGCATGGCAGCCCCCTCCCTCGGCGCCGCGGCCCACCTCCCACGCCAGCACGGGCAGCGCCACGTGAAGGCGCCGGGCTCCCCCACCGCCGCCGGCGTCCGCACACGCCGGTGCAGGCGGCACACACGCGCCCGGCACACGGTTCGGCCTGGGCTTGGCTCCACGGCACCTGGGTCACTGGTGCCCAGTTGTGCCGGGGAGAGGGGAAGCGCAGCTGACAGGGTCTGGCCAGGAAAGGTGTCCCCCCACGCAGAGCTGCCCTGCGGGAAGGTGACGGGTTTCCTGCAGCCGCTCACAGCCACCCCACCTTCACGCACGGCTGCCCACAATATCCGCAGGCGGGGAAGCGGGGCTCCGGAGCTGATGAGGTGCTGGCAAATGGGAGCGGCAGGGGATGCCCGGGGGCACTGGGCTCCTGTCACCGAGCTCAGCCGTGCATCCCACGCTGCACCCTGGGGCTCCCATCCCCGGGACGGGTCGCGCTGAATCTTGGCGTGCCCAGAGCTGCAAGAGCCTTGGGATGACAGAGACGTTACCAGGAGATGCAAAAGCACCAAGCACCCTAAAAATAGCTCTGCCTTCCCAGCCACCTTGGCGTGGAGGTGCTGGGGGGAGGTGGGGGCAGACCTGATCACCACCAGCACCCTCTGCCCTGGGCACCCTGACACACCACCCATGGCTGGGGTTGACCTCCCCCCCGAGCACATTGCCCTGGGTGCAGTCAGGACCCTCGGGGGGACGTGGGCACAGGGCGGGCTGGGGAAGGCGGACAGGGCCAGGGAAGGCGGGCAGGGCCGGGGGGGGCAGCCCTTCCTGCAGGACTGGCTGCGTGGGGCTGTGCAGGCACCCCACGGCAGAGCCCCACGGCCCGGCTCCCCCACGCACCCTCCCCGCACACACCCCTGCTGGCCCCGCCCCCCTCTGCCCCCGCCCCCGATCTGGCTCCGCCCCTTCACGATGTGCAGACCCCGCCCACATCTCCCCGCCTCCCCCCATTGGCCAGGGAATCAGCCATTCAGAAGTAGCCTCGCTGTAACCACCCGCTCACCGCTCTCCTCCGCAGCGCCACCCCCCGGCCATCTCCGCGGCGGCTCAGCCAATCAGAGGGACGCTTGCTGAAGGGCGCGCCCCCAGCCGCCCCACGTGCCCCTTCTTGGCCTCGGTGCAGCAGGGGCGGCCATGTTGGCGGCAGCGGGGCGGCGGCGGGGCTGGGCGGGCGCGGTGCCGGTGCCGGTGCCGGTGCCGGGGCGGTGCTGGCGCGTGGCTGGCCTGGCGGGGGGCAGCCCCGACGCCCCCGGGCTGCTGGCCATGGTGGAGGCCTTCTACAGGCGGGCGGCCGCCACCGTAGAGGCGGGAGCGGCTGAGCGGGGTGGGCTGCCCTGGGTGCGGGTGATCCTGGAGACCGTCCGGCGCTGCAGCCACGTCCTGGAGGGGCCCTCCCCCTGCGCAGGGACAGCGGCGCCTGGGAGGTGGTGCAGGGCTGGCGGGCCCAGCACAGCCAGCACCGCCTGCCCTGCAAAGGGGGTGAGCCTGGGAGCCGCAGCCCCGCTTGCAAGCTTGTCCCCCACTCAGCCCCACCTGTGGGGTAGCGCCGGGCTCAGCCCGCGCGGGAGGCACCTGCCTTAGCACAGTGGTGGTCAGGATGAGCGCAGAGGTGCCTGGGAGGACGCTGTCCTCGGCTGCATCCCACAGAAGGACAGGAGGCACCTGGGGGAGGCAGCTTTGCCAACCTCAGCTGCAGCCCAGCTGCTCCAGCTCGCAGGGGAATGCGAGAGTGGTGTGGCTGGCAGCCAGCCCCGCGTGTGTTTGACTCCTCATCCCAAACACCATACGCTCACTGCCCTAAATACGCCTCAAAGCAGCAACAGTTGTTCTGAGCCTGCGGGGTCCCAGCCTCCTGGTCCCTCGCCCCTCGCCCCAGGCTCTCACTGTGCTGCAGCTGCGCTGTTTGAGGTGCTTGCCGCAGCAAAGGCCTGCATCTGTGGGATGGCCAACTGGTGGGAAACTGCTTTCCACTCTGTGGTGGTCTGGAGGAACAGGTCTAGCTGAATGATTGCTGGTCACCTATTGTGACGGGATGCTGCTGTTTCAGAAGAGTCAAAGCCTTTCCTATAGTGCCTCTGTGCCATTTGTGGTAAAAAGGCAGAGACTCTTCACTTCTCTCTCCTTTCCCAGGGGTTCGTTTCAGCAGCTCAATGGGTGTTGATGAAGTAAAAGCCCTGGCTGCATTAATGACATACAAATGCGCTGTAGTGGGTGAGTACAAGAGGAACATAAAGCACGTGGTGACATGGGCATGGGATGGGGCTCTGATAACAGTGAGTCAGAAAAGCTTGTTAGATGCTTTGAAAATCAGAAGTGCTCCAGAAGCGCAGGATGTTCTTCTGGGCACGGCTGTGCGAGGGCAAGGTTTGCTGCAGCGGCAGAATACGCCACTGGCAGTCTGGGATGTTTGTGTTAATCAGGGAGCGTCAAGCATCGTGCTTCTCAGATGCAGTCTCTGTGCCTGGGTTGTCATGGATTCAGCTCTGGCTGGTGGTGTTTGTGGCAGGCTCAGGGTCCGTCTCCTTGTCCTGCCTTCGGCTCTGCTCCACAGAGGCTGCGTGGCACCAGGGGGGAGCCGTGGGGGGGGTGGGGAAGCGCCAGCCCCTTGCCTGGATTCACCAACAAGGTCACGATTGCCATTGTCTCCTCCTCCCCCCGGGGAGCAGGTGAGCTGGTGGGGAACATCCATCTGCCTTACCCGGTCTTTTCCAGATGTTCCTTTTGGCGGTGCCATGGCGGGTGTGAGGATTGATCCAAGGAAATACTCAGTGAGTTCACTCCTCTCCTTCCCCCGTCGACCGCCCATAACTCACGCTCCATTTGCACAGCCCTCCCTCTCTGTGTATCACAGCAGTGCACTCTGACAAGCCAGGGGGGAGACATTTGTGGTGAGTAACGCTCACCCAGCAGCTGTGAAAAGCAGCTTGGGGTGGGGAAGCTCTGGTTTATGGGTCAGTGCATCTGGCCAGAGACACGCTGGAGGAGTCTGGAGTAGGGATGCTCCTGTCGCTGCCTGCTGTGCTGGGGGAAGGTACAAATCAGCCAGCAGTTGGAAGGGCAGTGAGCAAAGGGATCAGGACTTCACACTTGTCTTTTTTTTTGATCCAGGGTCCC